CTCTCTCTCTCTCTCTCTCTCTCTCTCTCTCTCTCTCTCTCTCTCTCCACTTCCCCTTCACAGACCGTTCACCATCAAGCGACCGGTCGTTCCCAACTCGTTCCACAGCAGCTCAGGAAGTGAAGGTACGAGGTTTCTCCACTGTGACATCGAACCACGATTCACTTCATTCAGATTAATGAGGTGTTCATTTATTTACAGCAAAGCTCTTCTACAGCTGGCTGGAAGGTGAGCTGACGTTTCACCTGAAGAGAGAAAAGATGTGGTATTATTATTTTTTAGGGTTTTTGTGTTACCTGTGTGTGTGTGTGTGTGTGTGTGTGTGTGTGTGTGTTCGTTCTGTCAGGTCAGTGTGTAGAGAAGAGAGCTTTCTACCGGCTCATCTCTGGCCTCCATGCGAGCATCAACATACACCTGAGCGCCAGGTACCTGCTGGATGGTGAGACACGCTGACGCTTCATTTATTCAGAATAAATTCTTTAAAAAGAACTGATTGTTCTCAAATAGTAGCTGTACGTATGGAAAACTAAATAAATCAGCATTAATATAGATTTTCAGTAACTGTCTGATTGATCCAGTGAGTCAGAACTCTCTGTGTTGTTATTTACTCCGTCATCGCTTTCTCTGCTTTCTCTTTGTTAGATTTTCAAGAAACAAATACAAACAAGACAAATATAAAATCAAATGAAATAAGAATACATTAAAAATGAAATAATGTTTCTCCTACAGTTAATTATCACTAATGTCTAACTTCATCCCACCGTACAGTCAACACACAGCCAGGTAAAGGTTACGATAGTGTAACCCTAGTTCTATGAGCACAGGCTCCGCCCTCTACTGGACTCTGTGGTGATGCTCTCCTCCAATCACAAGCATGCATTTACCCAATGAACATGTGCATAAGCATAGCCGGCCAGTCAGGACGTGCCTACCTGGTGCAACACACACCCATAGAGTCCAGTAGAGGGTGGAGCCTGTGTGAGTTAGAGCCCCTCCCTCTGTCATCCCCTTCTTTCCCTTCAGACAGCTGGTTTCAGAGGAAGTGGGGTCACAACGCGTCGGAGTTCAGACAGCGCTTCGATTCGGAGCTGACGGCCGGCGAGGGGCCCAAGAGGCTCCGCAACCTCTACTTCCTGTTCCTGATCGAGCTGCGAGCGCTGGCCAAAGCTCTGCCCTTCTTCCAGCGGCCGTCGTTCCGGCTGTTCACCGGCAGACCAGAGGAGGACCGGAGACACAAAGAGCTGCTGCTGCACATCCTACAGCTGGCCCGGTCAGTCTGAGGCCCGGTACCGGGACCAGTACCGGGACCAGGTCTCTAACGCAACATCAGTCGGTTTTATTTCGTGTTTTTTTAACCAGTCATCATTCTGCTCTATTGTGTTATTTCCCTGTAAATGTTGCGTTTTTAGGTTTTATAAATTACTTTCTTTTCATTTATAGCGGAAATGCAAAACAAACTTAAATCATTCAAGTAAATCAGATTTCTCTGTGAGTATAGAATTAATAACAAGAGATATTTAAAGTTGAAATAAGAATAGATGTAAAAAGAGAAACCACACAAGAGCAATTAAAGACAAAATTACAAGATTATTTTACATAAAACTGTTTTTGATTTTAGTTTCCTGTGGAATCTTTGAATAGTTGATTAAAAGATGAACTTCTATTTTATGTCCAGTGACATTAAAATGTCTTAGTTTCATATTTACTGTATAAATGAACAGTTTGTTGCGACTCTCCTCTTCCAGATCTTTCCCTCTGCACTTTGATGAGACGTCTCTGTTTGCTGGAGATGAAAAGGAAGCAGCCAAGCTGAAGGTCAGCAACTATTTTAACCTCTGTAGAAATAAAGTTTACAGGTTCAAACTTACTGATGACTTCATACACTCTCTAAATAATATAATCCAGGCAGAGCAAGCCTTTGTGGACATGACAAGCTCTTATAATTTAGAATGAGACTCCTCTTCTACCTTTTATTTTAACTAAAAGAGGAATAAATAAATGACGAGTTCACTTCAAACATCAGATTTTATGCAGGAATTTATATCAATAATTCCAGAAGGTCTGATAGATGTCATAGATTCAGCAGCAGAGAGAAATGTCTACTTTGCTTGGATCCGTAAAATATTTGGCGGGAAGCATTTCGATTTTTAAAAAAAAAGGGAATCTCTTGCACACCAGGAGGACGACAGGTGGTCAAAAAACTCCTGCACATTCAGAGATATTTAGTGACATCGCTTAGGTACACAAACCTTCATCAGGTTACTTTAGAGACCTGTCAATCACCGTGTAGCCCCGCCCTAAAGCATCCCC